CAGATCTTCTTTTTTAAAGTCTTAGGGTCTAGCCAATGACCTGTGATTCCTAAATTAGCTCTAAAAATATTAATATCAGATCAATTTATAAATATAAATAAGTTTTTACCTTCTGTTATGTGTTCAAATTAGTGATCTGCACGGGCCTAATTTTTTAGGCCCGACCCGGCCCGAAATTTTTTTTAAAAAATTTTTCCCGGCCCGTCCCGAACACGAATTTTTTTTGGAAACTTTTGCCGGCCCGAACCCGATATTTTTGCCGGCCCGGCCCGAACCCGATTTTTTTTTAATTCATCCTAAAGTAATAATTATATTTTTTTTAGCTTTTAGTTTATTTTTTATATTTAAGATTTTGTTTTTGCAAAAAATATCTTAGTAAACAGAAAATTTATTTAGTATTTAATTATTTATTTAAAATACTATCAAAAATACCTATAAACCAAACAATAATTATAATGTTAAATTACACAACTATATATTAGATTCATATTTATAATTATCATTTAAAAATATCAAAGCATCAACATTTTCTGGTGACAGTCTATTTCTTCTTTCGTCTAATAACCTTCCAGTCTTTGAAAAAGTTCTCTCTGAAGTTGTGGACGTTGCAGGAATTGCTAGAATTTTTCTAGCCAATTTTGTCATCTTTGGTAATCTAATTTCATTTTTATTCCACCATTTTAATATATCTTTTTCTGGATCTATATTTTCATTATTCTCTTTTATATTTAAATTCTTATAAATTTCAAGCTCATCTGTTTCTTTTTTTTCATATTCTTCCTCATTGTCCTCCCATCTTTCATATTCATTGCCTGATATATAAAAATAATATAAATAGAACAATTTTAAATGTACCTTTAGATCTTGTAGGCGATTCCACAATTTGAGAAACGCCTTGAATATCCAAATCTATAATATCAATTGAAGGACAATATTCTTCAGAATTAATTATATTTTTGACTGAATTCTCTACTTCTAATATTTCCATTGATGATAACATTCTTAATTTTCTATATTTGGGGCATAAAAATGTCGCTATTTTATGCAAAATATTGATTTTAAATTTAGATAATAAAAAATTTTTTAAATTGGTTTTTATTTCTTTTATTTCATTGTTTTGATAAAATGAATCATTTAAATCCTCGTGAAGAATATTATTAAAGCATAGCAGTACTTTATGTAAAGTAGGATTAATATCTCCTTCTAGTTCTTTAGTAGCTTTATCAAAAGGATATAAAATATCAATCAAATTTTTCAAAATAGATTTCTCCAAGTTTTCCATTTTATTAATATCTCCCTTGGATGATAAAAATTTACGATGTCATCATATTGGTTATAAATAGATTTCAACATATTTAATTTTGAATTCCATCTAGTTTCGATATCTTGTTGTAATGTTTTGTTTAAATATTGATTCATGCCGGTTTGTTTAAAATACATGGTTAATTTTTTAGCAGAAATAAGGGTTTGATATATATTAGGAGCGATAATTTTCAAAGATTGTTCCTTAAAGGTATTTCGATGAACAGTATTTAATAAATGTGCGCTGCAATTTAATCTGGTGTATTTTTCTAGGGCTTTAATTATATTAGCTCCTTGATCAGATATAAATATTATATTTTTCACTTGATCGGGAATTATTCCAATTGCAGCAAAATTTTGTAGCATTTCCTTATGTATGTTCGCGGCGGTTTTTTCGCTTCTTTAAACTTATTCGTAAATAAAACATGTTTATATGAGGTTTCACCTTCGATATAATGAATTGAAACAGTTAAATAGGAAAACTTTTTAAAAGAATCTGTCCACATGTCTGTTGTAGCAGAGCATTTTTTATCAAATAATTGAACATTTATTTTATTAACCAAATTTGTTCTAATTTGATCCGTCATAACTATAGCATTTCTCGATAAAGTAGTTGGATGGGGAATAATTTCGCTACAGTCAATATTACCGTAAATGGAGCCAATTTGAATAAAATTTTGAGCCATTTTTATAAAGCCATCTCCAGTTATCGAATCAAAGGCACGCATGTCCTTGGCGCAATAATAGATCAAGGTATCACATAGTTTCTTTTTAATAGTTAAGGAAGAATTTAGATCTATTTTCTTTTGAATATACCTAGTTATTTTAGGAATAGAGGAATCGTCATTCTTAACGCACTTGTGACGTCTTAAATGAGAATTTCCAGATGTGCTTTTATATTGTAATATACTATTACATTTTTTACATTGGACGTAATCAAGTTTTTTGTTTTTATCATCAAATATGTCTTCAAAATTTTCCCATATATTGCTTTTACCTAAATGGGGCATACAAATATATGTTCCATTTTGTATTTGTTTTTTTAAAAAATTAAATTCATTTTTATATTTAAAATTTAAGTTTTATAAAAAAACATTTAAATTATTTTACCCATAATAAAATATATATGACATATGGCGTCTACTTTCTAAATAAATAAAATTAAATATTTATATTTTACAAATAAAAAATGTTGCCGCCTTGTTTCTTAAAAAAAAGTTTAATTATATATTTATACCAAGAATAAAAGATACATGCCATCATATGGCGTCTAGCTTCTTCAAATAAAATTAAATATTTTTATTTTACAAAAAATATTAGTGCCAATATTAAAAATTTTTTTAAGGCCCGGCCCGACCCGGCCCGAATTTTTTTAAAAAATATTAGGCCCAACCCGAACCCTAATTTTTTTTTTAAAGTAGGCCCGAACCCGGCCCGGCCCAGATCTCTAATAGAAAATCCTCTAAACGCGTTGTTTAAATCTAAAAATACTCAATTTTTGATATTTTTTCTTATATTAAAAATATGTGTATTAAATACTGCTTTGCCCTCAAGTTCTAGTATTGATATTTAGTTAGGCGAAACTTATACTTTCTGATCGTCGCTCTAGACTTGGGAATAATAGTATAGAAATGATTTTATTATTAAAATGCAATAAAATAAATATTGCTATAAATACTTATTTTTATTACATAAATTATAGTCTTTTATAGTACCGGACAACGGTCTTTCTTTCTTTCTTGAAAGACAATTTACTAGCTATCAATTTAAAGAATATTGTAAGGAACACTGATAAAACACATATTAACCCCTCCATCCACCCAGGCTTAAACGGAGAAGAGGAACAGGTGGAAAGAACTAGTGAAGGTCACGTTCCGGTCTTACCGTTGGACCGGACCGGATCACGGTCCTTAAAAAAGATCGATCCAGACCGTGGTCCTAAATAGGGGACTTTTTATTTAATAATATTTTTTTTAACCTAATTTGATTTGTTTTATCATTTTATTAAATATAAGAGTATTATATAAACAATAAAATTTATCTAATGGTATTGAAGAAAATGATTTTGTGCTTGTGGAGGGCATATTAAAATTAAGAGTAGATTGTGTTTTTGGAGATATTTTCATTTTCATCATTATAAGTATATATTTTATGTTTTATCAGGTGTCTGCTTAAGGTACCTAATTATTTTATTAAGAATAAGGTTAAGTAATTTTTACAATAAATTATACAGTTTGTTAAGAAAAAATAGAACTATATAATAACCAATATTTTAATAATATTACTGCTTATTTTGATTAATTTATTGCTTAAAAAATTATAAACAATTATTTTGTTACTAGTTGCTGACGATACATTAAATTTGGTACTGCAGTTAACACATACTCTATGTTTTTTATTGGGACTATAAGTAAAATGTTTCTTGGATAAACTTATGGTTTTCATATTGTAAAATAAAAATTAACAAAATCTAAAATAACACCTCTAGAAAAATATCATAAAATAAAATATACAAAAAAATTATATTAATTGAATAGTAAAGCAAACTTAAACAATAATAAAAGACCGGTCTAGACCGTAAAAAATAAAGAGAGCGGTCCAGACCACGGTTCTCAAAAAAGATCGGTCCGGTTCGATTCCGGTCTAAGATCGATAGGACCGGACCGTTGACCTTCACTAGTAAGAACGGTAAAACAGCCATGGAGAAAAATACAGCTATAAACAAGTATGATATATTAAATGAATTTTTATTAGCCTACAGAAACCAGCATGCAACAAAGGGACAGACACTAGCACAAATGACGTTTGGATGGAATGCTCGAACCAATCTGGAAATGATTAAGGAGACACAAGCAAGCAGACAAGATGGTACTCACTCAGAACAGAGAGGTCAATCTTACGATGGGACAACCAGTATGAACTAAAACATAAAATGATAAGGCGAAATGGATTAAGGGAACGATAGTAGCTCGATATGGAAAATTCATATACAACGTGGACATAGCCAAAGGTCGATGGAAAAGACATAAGGACCAAATTCGAAATATATGAGACTATATTTAATAGGAGAGATGAAAAATATTTTATTTATTTTTTGTGAAGAATATTATAATCAATTTTCGGAATTTATTTCTTTTTTTGTTGAAAAAAAATCGATTTTTATATTTTATTTTGTTAAAGAATATAATTTGATTTTCGGAAATTATTTCTTTGTTTTTTGTTGAAAAAAAATCGATTTTTATAATTTATTTTGTTGAAGAATATAATTTTTCAATTTATCGATTTTATATCTCAATAAAGATATCTTTCTTCCAAGAATTTATTATATATTTTAATAACTTTTTTGTATTTTCTCGGAATTAATCAATAGTTATATTTTAAGAAATTATAATTACTTTAGGAATATCGATTTATTATATTAATCATTTTTTTACTAAGAGAATTGAAATGATCTAATTTGTATTTTTTTTGGAAAAATTATTCTGATTTTGGATTACGTGATGTTTAAAAATGTGAAAATAAAGTTATAGAATAAAAAATTAATTTTTAATAATTAGTGTGGCTTCAAGTAAATATAGAAAATATAATCATTTAAAAAATAAGATAAAACTATTCGATATTAAAATTTTTTATATCGGCAACAGAGACTAATTATTAATATGAAAATGAATAATTTATTAATAAAATAATGAGATTACTAGCATCATAATGGAATCCTTTAATTATTGTAAGCTCCAAATCATTATCCCCTAATTCTGTATTACTTCTGTGTATTTTAATAATATAAAAATGTCCAATTAACCAAATATTATGAATGCCTAAAATATTTTCTACTAAGAGCGGAACATTTTTTGAGTAAGCCATTTAATATGCCAGATTTATAAAATTTACAATAAAGTAAAATTCCTACAAACTTATGGTAGTATAGATTAGATAATAAAGCTTACTTAAATGAAAAGTATATTAATATGTTAATTTTAAAAAAATAGGTAAAGGTTTATGCCAAAAATTAATAAGGCTGGTACTTTACATACTGAAATACATTTCCAGTTAAGAATTGCCTTCAATAAATGATTCAAAATTGAGATTACAAGCTGCCACAGATTTTATATCCCAATAGATATAATGTATTTTAAAAAAATAAAGAATATTTTTTAATATATTAACTTGACTAAAGGTAATATTTTCTCATCAAACCGGTATTTGACTCCTTCATTTCCAATATCTTTTAACTTGGACAATTTCTCAAAATCTTTTTTACTCGTCCGAGCCATTGCATCAAAATTCTTGGCTGATGAAACGTCTCCACAATGCATATAGTATTTGCTATTTCGTTCACACAATGCGATTTGTTCTTTCAAAATTTTTTCTAAGGATCTCAAATCCTTTTTATTTTCGTCAATCTTTATGGATCTACCGTCGGTATTAATATTCGCAAAAGTGTTTGAAGATTGCAAAGTGAGAGGGGAGGAAGGGATGGATAATTTGCCTGTGCTCAAAATTTGAGGGGTTTTAGGTAATCCAGACAAATCGATGGGTAGGCCCGATTTGCAAGCTTGAATCAAAGGGTCAAATCCCTGTGTATTACAACAATTTTATTAAAAGAGTTTTAAAAAATCAATTTGGATACACTAATATTATAGTATTATATAAAAGTTAAGAATTTGAATTAATATAAGTGTCTTAAATAAAAGTTTAAAAAATAAAATTTTTTTACTAGTAATTTAATTTATTTATAAAAGTTTTTAATATGATTAAAAAATATTACAATGAAATTTATTATTCATAAATTAAGAACTTCATAGTAAACATAAATTAATTTATTAAATTAATTAATAAATAAACATTTCCGATACTTGAAATGTAGAAACTCATCATCAGTTTCTATACAAATAAAAAATAATTTAATTAATTGAGATAGTTAATTAGTGCATTCCATGTATTTCGTAAATTTTTTTATGCATTAATAAATAATTAATTAAAATTTACAATGAAGTTCGTTATTGTTAATGTTAAATTTTTTATTAGAAAGAAAACCCCCCTTTGGAGTATATTTACTATTATAAGTAGGAAACCTCTTGTCAGGTGAACAATTAAGAGTTTTCATAGGCTGTAGAATTGGACATAACATCGTTAAACCACATACATGCAAAAAATGCAAAATATAGGTTAATTCCAAAGGGAGACATGATCTTAATTTTATATATACATTTAAGGCAAACATGCAAAGCATGCAGCGATTAATTCAGTTATTAGCAGTTCTCTTACGAGGGTCCGAATACCAAACATCCTGGAGGCTGTTAATTTATCATAAGATAATGTCATAATGCCAGATGATTTAAACTCTGTACCTTGGTCTTTAGGTATAAATCCTTAGTTTGCGACTTAACATAAGTCTCTTCATTTCCAAAAAAATTTAAATTCTAATCAGGTTGATATAGCCGAGAAAAAAAAACTATTCTTAATTAACAAATTATGTTTTTTTACCAATCGGTATCTCTTCCCTTGGACTTATGACAAGCGGAACCTTAAATTTTTAAAAAATATAGGTGGTAAATAATAGCCCTTATATCAGAACCCAGGGAATTTTTTTAAAACAAAAAAAATCAAATTACTATTCAAAAATATAATTATTCGTGTTGGGAACTTGTAGTCCCAATTACGTTTTTATAGAATGAGGAGTTGTTTAGTTTATGGCGGCAAAACATGGGCAATGAAAACGATCCACGCAGCCAAATTAGAAAGAACAGAGATGATGATGATTAGATGGATGTATGGGGTATCCCTGAAAAAGAGAAAACCTAGCAAGGAAATGCGAGCAAAATTGGTTATAAAAAATTGCAGTGTTATTGCGAAGAAATAAACTGATGGTTTGGGCATGTGGAACGTAAGACGAGAGATAACTGGGTAAAGAGATGCACCTTGATGGAAGTAGGAGGATCAAGACCTAGAAGAAGGCCCAATATGACGTGGAAAAAGGTGATAGCGGCGGATATGAGAAAAATGAATCTTACAAATATTGATGCTCAGGACCGTCAAAAATGGAAAAGAAAATCAGAGGGAAAACTGGACAACCTGAGTAAGCCTGAAAATCGCCATTAAACGGAGAAGAAGAGTTTATGATTGGAATATAGTTATATATTAAAAATTAAATAAATCGATCTATTATCAAAACAAATTCTTATAAAACGTAGTAAAAATAGTGTTCTTTAAAATATGGTAATTTTTTTTATTAGTATAAATAGTTTTTTTAACATAGTAAAATTTTTATTTTTAGTAATAATTTTTTTAACGTAATATAATAAAGATCTGCTAATCACGGCCCAGCCAGAACAGATTTCGAGCCAGGTCGGGTTTAATTTAAAAAAAAAAATTTGGGCCGGGCCGGCCTTAAATTTTTAAATATATTACATTTTGTCATAAATTGATATAATTTTAAATTCTTGCTTTTTACAATAAAAAAAAATATTATTTTTCTATTTTAATAAATTCGGGCCGGCCCTGGCGGACAAATTATTTTTATTTTTATTTCGGGTCGGGTTTTTCGAGACAAATAAAAAATAATTCGTTCGAAATCATGCCGGGCTGGATAAATTTTTTTAAAAAAAATCGGGCAGGGCTGGGCTTGGGAAATTAGGCTCGATGCAGATCACAAATATAATATAAATAATAAATACTGATAATCTTTTTTTTAACGGTTATAAATTTTTTTTTTTTAATTTCAAATAATCGCATAATTTAAAAAAATATATACTATAACTTATATTAAAGAAGAAAATAAAAATTATATAACATTTTTAAAAAAGTAACATAACACTCTATGGAAATTCTTATTGGATCGGTATTCGAGAGAAATCTGCTGATGAAGTTAGAATCCTTCGTTGGGGTCACCTATAACGAGTCTCCTCTTTTTGCCCATGAATTTGATAAAATTGAGACTCCGAAGGCGTTAGTGACTATTGATATAGAAAATGTGCTTGGCCTGCGTATTTATTTTTTTTTCTGGCATTTCTGCCTTTTCGATGGCATAAAATGAGAGATTAGTATTATATTTGAAAATCTTTTAAGAAAAATTGCAAGGAAAGCAATGCCTGCTTCTAATAGAGGCATTGCCAATATATAATTCAGGGTTGTGCATTTGGCCTGTCAAATATGGTCAAATTCAAATAAATTTTTTTTAAGACAATATTAACTTTATTTTAAATATAATAGTAAAAAATGAATCTATATAATATTAAATTATATTTTAAAATTCTATCATTAATGTTTCTCTCTCCATGGCAATCTTGTTCTAATTTATATTCGATATTATCCTTCCTAATATTTCAATCAATTCAAGCTTACCAATTTTTTGGTTGCCGAGATATTTAATCAATTTTTTTCTTTGTATGAATATTACCCCCAAACCGACCAATTTCTTCCTGAAAAAGAAATATAACTAGTTAGACTCTCTTAATGTTCAAGGTGGTCAAAGCCCATTCCAAAAACTTGAGGCCAAAATCTGATTTTTATGAAGGTTATTGCTTTTTGGCTATTACCGCAGCTTTTACTTCTGAAATTTATGACATCTCTTAAAATATTTGAATTATAACCTTGTAAAATGCCTAATTCTTGTATTATATCACATACCACATCAAACTCACTACCAGTAAAATGACCCCCTTATATTGGGGGTCCTCTCTACTGAATTATTGGTATTCGGTTCACGAGATTGTGTCGATTCGTAGCAATTCCATATAGAAATGCTAAATATTGGCGACCTCTTTTCTATCGCTCTCATTTTTCCAATCCACGTCTCTTCTCTTCAAAGTATTCTATCAAGGGGGCGAGAATATCCCTAATAATTCTTCGAATCCATGAATTACGTCCTTTACTGGTACATTGCCAGTGACATTAACATTTTTATGTACATAGCAAAATTTGTTAGTGTTTTGTATGCTTTGCAAATTAGCGGATTTTTTTGAACAGTGCGCCATATGATGGCGATATATGAAACAAGCACCCGCGCATTGCAGTCAGTGGAAACGACTGTTTGAAAGCAGATAACGCTGCTAATTCATAGTCGATCAATGAATTTAGGATTTTAAAAAAATTTTAAATTTTTTTATTTGATTGAAAGTATTAACGTAATCTTGTTGGTGAGTGATGTCATCATAACATAAATAGCGGGGATAATGGTGTTATGTTTCATCCCGTGGATGGTTTATAATTGCTGGAAAAGAGAAAGACATGTCTTGAATGTGCCATATGCATACCATTTATCGCATGTTGATAAAATTGTAAATTTTTGATGGTTAAAAATATGATGATCGGTGATCATGATGACCACTCTCATTTGGTATGACCAAGTCAATCAGGCTCACGGGAACGACAGGCGATCTTCCTACTTGACGTTCGATATAAGGTAATTCTAATATTAATATTATTTCAAATACTTTAATTTCTTTTCCCCTATGATTATGCAGAACCTAAGTAGTAATTACACAAATTTATACAAAAATGTTATATATTATATAGATATAACATTTTTTATAAAATAATCATATACTTCAAATAAAATTCTTATTAAAACAAAATTCTTTATAAAATAATTCTCTATAAAATACATTCTCTATAAAATCATTCTCTGTAAACTCATTCATATAAAATCATTCTCTATAAACGACATTCTCTAGAATTGTTTTCTCTAGAAGTGGATTCTCTACAAAAGTTTCTCTGTAAAATACATTCTTTGTAACGGTTTTTCTGTAATGATGTGAGACCTAAAAACGACCACTAGATAAAAATTGTTGAGTCAAAAACCTTCACAAAGTTTGAGATTCAATTTTATTACCTTTTGCTTAAATAACTATGGTTATGTTAAAATTGGCGTTTTTAATATATATGGTGAATTCCATATCAAATCAACAAAAAAAGTCGATTTTCAACCCGACCTCTTCAATTTTTCTTAAATTTTGTATACTGGTAGTATATACTATAACTAAAAAAAATGAAATTTTACCTTCCAACACTGTTTACCCGCTAAAATATGGCCGTTTAAAGCGCGGAAAAATGGTACATTTTTGACAATTTGCACCTCATTTATTTTCAAATATCTCGAGAAATAATTATGTTAGAAAAATAATTTAAATTTTATTTTGTAGCTTAATAAAATCTTTAAAATGACATAAAAATAAATAGGATGGACATTTGATTGATATCGAAAACCAGATGTGTAAAACCGAAAATAGATATCACACTGCTTTATATTTGTACAAAATCCTAGACTGGGATGAACATGGGTTTAGAAGTTATCACTCTTTATATGGCTAAAATTGAACAAATTTAACATTAATATCATCATATTTTAATTTAATGAATAGTTATGAAATAATGTTTATTTAAAAATTAAGTATAAATGATAGGCCCTTACTTTATTTTATATTTATAAAAAAATTTGAGAGGTGGCTGGGATAATGAGCTGTTTAAAACTTTAGTTAAATTATATCTCGAAATTAAAATTACTTAAAATAATTTTAAATATTTTATTTAGCATAAAATAATCTACCAAAATTGAAATTCAACAATAAATTTCCCT